TCCCTGCTGCATCACCCATCACCGGGAATCACATTAGCCTGTTTACACACCTGGCAGGAACTCCAGGAAAGAGGAAAGTTGGCTAGGCCTCAGAGAAGCGGTTCCGAGGCCAAGGGGTCTGTGTGGGCAACAGGTCAGACCTGGTGGGGAAAGCATGCATGTGGCACAGATGAGGGTTCTGCGACCACCTGGCTGGGAGAGGCTAGGAAAGTCCCTCCATGTCCCCTCTGGGCCTCAGTCTTCCCAGCTGAAAAGTGAAAGGACTGGAAACACTGATTCCAGCTCAAATCTCCCACAAATTGGCAGCAGTCAGTGGTTTTAGAAAGTGCACATATTCTAAAATCAGAAATACCAGGATTCAAGTCCAAATTCATTCATTCACTTGTTTTTGAGTACCTGCTATGTGTCAGACACTGCCTTAGGCACTGGGGGTGAGTCTTGGAACCAGACAGACACAGCCCTGCCCTTACCTTGCCCACAACCTAGTTGGGGAGGCAGACACTGAAAAAATAATGTTCATTTAGGATCGAGATGAATGTCAGGAAGGAAATAAAACAGGAGACTGTTTTAGAGAGTGCCGTAGGGGGTGAGGAAGGCAAGTGTCCTTGAAAAGAGGAATCAAGGAGGCCTCCTTGGAAGAAGTGCTGTTGGCGCTAAGACCCAAATAACGAAAAGAATCCAGCAATGGAAGATCAGGGGCAAGAGCATTCTAGGCAGAGAGAATAGCAAGGGCAAAGGCTCTGAGGCAGGAACAAGCTTAGCAGGTTTAAAGAACCAAAAGAAGGCTTATGAGGTTGGATCATAGTGAGAGCAGAGAAGAATAAGAGAGATTGTAAAACCATGCCTGCTGGTTTCTGTATCTGGTGTTCTGATATCTTGGGACTCTACTAACCCTTGAGGGTCAGCCCCTTGCTGAGCTAGCTAATTCCTAGAGATAGTAAACAACTCCTTAGGTATGTGTTTTTCAAATGTAAACCAATCAATCTAAAGCCTACACCCCCAACCACCTCCTTTATTGGGCTCTGTCACGCCTGGCCACTATCCACCTACCTTGATTGTCCCAGGGCAAGATACCAGACAACTAGGGGACAGACTCTAGTGTCCCAGTGCCCACTGCAATTATTTGAACTAGCCAATCCTATGCCTGCTTATCCTGACTTGCCCATTCCTTAAATATAAATTGCCAGATAGTGATAAAGACCTGAAGAAAGATAAGGCAGAGAAGAGAACGGAGTGTAAAAGATTTTTCATTTTCTATGTTAGATAGAGTGGCTAGGGAAGGCCTTTGAGGGGGTTCACCTTTGAACTAAGATGAATGAAGTATGGGAGAAAGTCTTGCTGATGTGTGGGAAACAGCAGTTCACACAGAGGGAACAGCGAGTGCAAAGGCCCTTGGGTAAGAGCATTCTTGGGATATTTAAGGAACAGCAAGACCAGCATGGTTGGAGCAGGGGGAGCAAAGGGGCCAAAGCTCCTGGTAATTGACTAATAAATATTAGCTGTTCTTATCCTTTGCTGAGGGCTTACTATGATCTGATAAGGGAGCTTGACCTTTGATTCCACTCACTCCTTATCTAGAAATTAGGATTCAGAGATTAAATGAAATGTCAACAGAATAAAATCATCCTGGTTGTGACTGGGAGCCTAAAACAGGGGAATCACTGGACAAGGAGGTGGGATGGAGGCACTCACACCTGCCCTGTGACTCCCTCACCGTGAAGCCTCAGGCAACTCACTTCCTTCTTTGGGCCCCAGAATCCTCTTTATGGAAGTTAAACCAAGTTCTGAAATGTTGTGACAATGACTGCAATAATAATAGCTGATGTTTATTGAGTGCTTACTGTGAGCCAGCATGTCATGACGTGCCTCAAACATGCGAACTTATTTTCATATGATCAGACCCAATTTCCATGAGACAACCAAGGCTTAGTTAGAACTGACCATTTCCACGTAGCTCATTCCATCAAATGCTACAAGCATCTCGTTTTCCCCCAAATCAGCTTCAAAGATCCCTCTAAGAAAAAATGTGTAAAGGTTAGATGTATGTGTATCTGAAGTGTATTTTTTGCATATGTGAACTTATTTCTTCATCACAAAATCCCTTGAGGAATAGGACTATGAAAAAATCCATTTATCGGATGGGGAAACCTGTTCAGAGAAGTGGAGACACTCTTCTGAATCACATCACTCATGAAGGACAGAAGCTGGAGCTGAATTCACATCCAGATGAGTCCATGGCTTTTTCTGCCAAACCAGGCTCTCTCCTGAATACCAGGATTTGCATTCTAAGAACAAAAGGCCATGACGGGAAGCATCCCTGAATGTGGTTCTGCCATGTACTCATTTCCCATTGCTCCTGTAACAAATTACCTAAATGCAGTGGCTTAAAACAACAAGAAGGTGTTTTCTTACAGTTTTGCAGGCCAGAATTCTGAAATCATTTTCACCAGGCTCAAGTCAAAGTGTCTTGAGGGCTAATTCCTTCTGGAGCTCCCAGCAGAGATCGGCTCCTTGCCAGTTTCCAGCTGCTAGAGGCTGTCTGCATTCCTCGGCTTGTGGGCCCACATCATGTTGACTTCTGACTGACCCTCCTGCCTTCCTCTTGGAAAGACCCTGTGATGTCATTGGATCCACCAGGATAATCAAAAATACTCTCCTCATCTTGACAGCCTTACTTGATCACATGTGCAAAGCCCCTTTTTCCATGTAAGGTAACATGCACAGGGTGAGAGAATTAGGATTTTGACATCTTTGGTTGGCCACTGCTGGGCCAACCACTTAACAGCCGCCAAGTGTCTTGGTGGAAAGAAGATCATCTCATTTTACAGACCAGGGAATCAAGCAGCCAGGGCTGACAGCCAACCTCGTGAATCTCCAGACAAGGCATATATGCAGGCTACAAGTCCCGTCTTTCTTGAAGTGAAAGAGGCCATCTCTGAAAGACCTTGGATCATTCATATATGGACCGTAAAGAACACCGAGGTTCCTCCCTTTCTGATTCTTCCTTCTCATTCCTTCCAAAACAAAGTCTCAGTTTGGTACTAGCTTCCCTTCAGCATCTCTTTGATTATTTCCTTCCCTTTGTAACAAAGAAAGGGCAGGTGTCAGGCCCTTGGCTTCAAGTGGGCAGCAGTATGTAGCCAGAATTAATCAACATTGGCTATTTATTTATTTATTGCTACTTTTCCTCTACCAGTCATTCATGATCCTGCTTTTCCATACATGGTTCTGACATAAAATTTCCTTTTTAAGTCATTATATTTAGGTTTCTTCTTCTTCTTTTTTTTTTTAAAGAAGGAGAGGGCAGTAAGGCATTATGTAAAAAACAAACCAGTAAACGATAGGAATGCAATTAAGTAAAAATATTGAGTGGTAAGGGGATCTGGCAAAAATGTTGTGGGCAGTATTTGGATGATGGAAACCAAATCCCTACTCTGTTTGGGGGGTTTGTGTGAACAAATTCCTTGTCCGAGCTCTCTGGGTTCAATGAGATGCAAGTTAAGGGCACTAGGCAGTATCTGGCTAGAGAAGGTGTTGGATCTAAAGGGCTACACTTAGGTTGTTTTACAGGAAGCCTGTATTAGGGCAATATGCAAGGACCTCTCAGAACCCTGGCCACCTCTTCTAAAACCAGGACCAAGAGGTGAGTGATTGGAGCAATATTAAGCAGCTGTGAGACCTCAGGAACATTACCTAACATCTCTGTGCCTCACTTTCTTCATCTGTAGAAATGGGGATAATCATTATTCCCACTCCTTAAGGCTGATGTGAAGAGCAAGTGAACTAAAATGTGAAAGGCATGTAAAACAGCATCAGATAAAGAGGAAAAAATTTTTTAGCAGTTATTATTATAAACCCCCACTGTGTTTGGCACTGCACTGGACCATTTCTGTGTCTTTTCCTACTTAAGTTTCACAACAGCCCTTTGGGGGGCTGTGAGTCCTCCCCAACTTCACAAATGAGGAAACTGAGACTCAAAGATGCTAAGTCTCAAACGCAGGCTCCCTTGTCTCAGAGTTTTAGAGTCAAGACCCAAACCCAAGTCTTTCCAACTGTAAGGCTTGTGCTCTTTCCATCATTTAACTTTTCTGAGTCTCAGTTGCCTCATCTGCTAAATGGGAGAGTTAAAACATCTCTTAAGCATTGAACAAAAAGTAAGAAGTTATGGTGAGGGCATAATACATGATATCACTGGGCCCAAATAATAACCTGGGAGGAAGGTGATACTATGCCATGTTATAAATGAAGGAACGGAATTTTAGAGAAGCAAAATGACTTGCCCAAGGTCACAGAGCAAATATGTACAATAAGAATACGTACAATAAGAATATGTACAATAAGAATCCAGTTCTGACTTCAAAGACTCAAAACTGGGAATGAAATGACCATTTTCCTAGTCATCCACCTTAACATCCCACACAAGAATTAGGCAAATGCAAAAAAATGGACCTCTGACCCTACTGGTGGTATACCCCTGTCCCCTAAAAAGATCAGCTAACCTACTGCTAGCCAGACTTTATACCCTTGTGCAGATTAGGGAAAGAAATTCTTCTTCAGGCAGGCCCAGCACTGCCTCGGGGCACACGGTTTGGTATGTGGAGTGCAGGCTTGTTCAGCTGCAGTTTGCTTGCTTCCTCAAGGCCCCCTGTGCAGAGCACTGCCAAATGCCTCTTCCTCAAAGCATCCTTCCCAAGAGTCACCTGTGAGTATCCACTGCAAGAACTCACCTGGGCCAAATGATCAGTCCAGCTGAATTTGCTTGTAGGGGTGCAAGGTGGAAAAGGGGACAAGATTTCTCTTCAAACACATGAGGCGGGTGCTTATTGCAAGCTTGCTTTACAAGTCTTGTCTGTCCCCACTGACTGCCCAAGGCCAGTACCCAAACCTCCAACTCCCAGGATGGCCATTTTTGGAACTTGAGGTGGTTCCTCCAGTAGCATCCTGACTTTTCTAAGTCTCTTTGTAGCAAGAGCTGGGATCCCTAGTGGTGCTGGAAATTGCAACTACTGCATCCCAGATGTGTGGCCCACTCCTTTTCATTTCTACTGACAGCATTTTGTTTCATGCCAGGAGGACATAATATAAGAATTGTTCCCTCCATCTTAACCAGATTAACCCCAGTCTCCTTGAAGACCAGCTCACCAGTTGCCAGGGGGACAAGTCCATGAGGGCCAGTCCTCTCGATCACAGACACCTAAAACATCAGAGCAGTGGTAACCTGCAGACATCATCAAGCTGGAAAACTAGGTCCCACTAATGGGCAAACAGCGAATGCCCAAGCATCTCAAACGTCTTTCCTGATCTGTTATCTGCAATTTTGCAAAAGTTTTTGGGACCCCATGGGTACAACAGAACCTGTATTAGTGGTTCCAGAATTTCTATATGACAGAGGCTTAGAAGCAGCAATCTGATGGTAGGGGTGGACACTGAGGACACTTGCCTTGAAGCTAGCATAAGGCACGGCAAGCATAATGTTCTTGTTAGACCACCAGCCTTTGTTTGGGGAGGTTATCACAGAGTTAAAACTGGGTAAGATGACAGGAACTGTCTTGAAGCCCTGTTTGCATAGCACACCCCCCTCTGTTTGCTTTAAATGTATGTCACAGATCAATAAAAACAGCAATGTTTTCTGTTCAATGTTTTTTAAGGATGCCTTTTTCACAATGTACATTAGATTGGGAAACAGGTCAGTTATTAATATCTAATAATATAATACATTACACATATATCTATCTCCCTACCTATCTATATAATTACATAGGGAAAGGGGCTTTGAATATACTGATAGAGATTTTTAAAGAGGCTAAGATCCCCCCAGGTAGTCAGACCAGCCTCCTGGGAGGAGGTCCTGGTTTATCAGCCACTTAAAGAGGCAGTGATGTCTCAGGCCACACAAATGGTCCTCATCAGGGATCTGTGGGGATGCAGGAGAAGTTCTTATTCAGTTATAACTAAGGAGAGAGTGCAACGTGCAGCAGTTAGAAGTACAGACCCTGCATTCTGCCTTTGTACAGGCTGTGTGGCCTTGGGTAAGTCATCTAACCTTGCTGAGCTTCCATTTCCTCACCTATTTAATAGGGGTGCAGATAGCAGCTGCCTCCCTAGTTATGTGGACATTTTATGAGACATTGTCTGAGAAGCTCTTAGCATAGTCCTTGGCTCATACTACCAACAGAACACCTGATCATGGGGGTTACAGGAACTCACTGTTATCTGCACACACTGGGGTTCATATGGAAGTGGATTCACTGTGCTGCTAATGGAGCTTAAGCTTCAGAGCCCCTCCAAAGCCCAGTTCTATAGTTTATACTTGTAAATCTGTACACTTTTTCTTAAAGAGACCTCCTCAGATACTATGTAATTCAGGCCCCTAACACTTGGATTTGCCCCTGAGTTCACAGTCTTGCTTAGAGAGCAGAGCAGAGAGAAGCTTGAAGAACTCCCTGCCGAGGGGAGACCCAGTGTGCTTCTTCTCCTCTTCCCAGAACTCTGCCTGGGACCCCACAGACCCATCCATCCTTCCATCAAAGATGCTTCACGAAGTGAGGCAACTTCCTTGCTCAACCCCTCACATCAGTTCTCAGAAGCTAGCACTGTGATGGCTCCATATTACAAAGAAAGTAAGAACCAAAGAAGAAACGAGGTTGTTCTAAGGTCCTGAGGTCAGCACGTGGCCTGTTTTTTTAAAGTGACCTAATCCTTACTCCAGCATTTATTGTTTTTCTCTTCCAAGTCAAGAAGTCTAATAGCTTAAATAATTCTACGCTAAAAAACTTGCTTGTGTATTAGCCCTGGATCCCCTTGGCACTACCTGTTACCATCTCCTGACTCCCTGTGTCCAAGGAGGGCTCCTTCCTCTGGGCAGCCCTCTCTGAACACCTCTCCTGGCTCCCCTGGCCTCTGCTGATGGGTGCTGGATAAAGCAACGCTAAACTACACCTTCTTTATACTTTTGTTTTTATGAACATTTAGCATCTCATTAGGGACGTTGAAGCAACTTCCTGGAGCTAGAAGCCTCGTCCTGGTGCCCCGCCATGATGCCCTAGATGACATGGACACAGGTGAGGTGCCCAACAGGGACCTGCAATACCGTCCTCTTCCAGCCCCACTGGTGGTGATTTTTGACATGACTCGCCTGACCTGAATCTTCAGCCTTTGATCTGAGGATTACTTTCTTTGAGGGTCTAGAAACAGCTTAGTTTCTAGATTCTAATAAGCCAGGGACTCAGTCCTTCCTTACTCCACTGCCTGCTGTGTGGTTCTGAACAAGTCACTTCACCTCTCTAAGCCCCTCTCCTCTTCTCTGGAAAACAGGGTAAGTAATCCTCCCTCTCTGAGGGACACTGAATGGACTAAGTAAAATGACGCACAACAAGAGAAGTTCAGCACTGCACCTGGCTCCTAGTAAGCATTCATTAAGTCTTGGCTGTCCCCATCATGTAAAGGACTAGAATAAAACCAGGCAATGTGTTATTAGGCACTTACTGTGTACCAGGCTCAGTTCTAAGAGATTTACACATATTGTCTTATTTAATATTCACCACAGCCCTAAGGGTTGCCACTACCATTTCCCCTATTTCTACATAAGTAAACTGAAGTTCACAGAGGTGAAGTGACTTGCCCCCAGACTTGCACAGCTTGGCATTGCATTCACTAAGTGTTCATTGTGATTTTCAAGTGAAATGTGCGACGGCAGGGCCAAGCACATAGTCAGAGCTCAATAAAGAGAAATCATTCCTGTAAAAGTGAGATCCAGAAGGCTGGGGGCACTCGGACTCCAAGGTGCAGCTAGCTGGGAAAGGGGCAGAGGAGTTAGGGGTGTTCACAGCAGCCCGAGGCAGGATAAAGCGGAGAGGGTCGAGGGGGGTCTGCCTGGGACCTCAGCGGGGTCCCGCCTCAAAGGCTCGGGAACAGAGGGTCCCGCCGGTGGCGCGGCCGCGGGTGGGCGCCGCACAGACAGAGGAGGCGTTACCTTGGGCGGCAGGGCGAAGACCACCGGCAGCAGCGCGAGTGGGGCGAACAGCAGCACTAGCAGCCGCCGCGCGCTCCACACCTTCTTGGCCACAGCCGCCAGCGCCGCCATCTGCGCGATCGCCGGGCGGAGCGGACCGGCTCGGGACTGTCCGCGCCTGGCCCCGCGCAGGCTTAAAGCTGGGGAACGGTCGGGGAGGGGACTGCGCCCGGGGACCCGCCTTCTCCCTACTCCCCCTGGGGAAATGGGTGGCGCCTGCTCCCCGGGAACCGGGTGAAAAAGGCCGGGGAATGTTGGGGGACGTTAGGGCACAAGAACTAAGGGCGCGGACTGCTGGCGTAAAGGCAGCGTGGCCTTGGGTTTAAGCCTCGCGCCTTCCCAGCTGCGCGTCCTGGGACAACTGGCTTAACCTTTCCTCCCACTGTTTACTCGCCTGTGACATGGACGATAATGACAATGCGAGGTTAAAGCACTTACTAGTATTACCTGGGTTCAGATCCTGACTTTGTCGCATACTAGCTGCGTGGCCTTGAGCACAGCCCTCTGAGCCTGTTTACTCATCCAGAAAGTGGAGGTAATGATAATAATGGTCCTTTACCAGACAAGAGGTCTAGTGGGAAGTTTAAATGAGATAATGCACTTAAGGTGCTTAACATAGTGCCTGGCACAAAGAACTTCAGGGCAGTTGTTATTGCTGTAGATAATGTGATTCTTATTTTCTCCTAGGGTAGGTGAGTCAACTGTAGGATGGAGCCTGGAGGAGTCTTTTTGCCCCTCTTGGATAAATGCACAGGAGTACAACTGCTGGATTCATGATAGTTGCATCCTTACTTTTTCAAGAAACTGCCAAACTTTTCCAAATTTTTTGCATCCTTTTGCATTTCCATTAGCAATGTGTGGGTGATCCAGTTTCTCCACATCCTTGTCAGTATTTGGTGTTGTCAGGATTTTTTATTTTAGCCATTCAAGGGAGGGTGTAGAGATACCTCATTATGGTTTCATTTGTATTTTCCTAATGGCTAATGATGTTTTAGTATCTTTCTGTGTGCTTACTTGCCATCTGCATATCCTCTCTGGTGAATTCTCTTCCTGTCGTTGCCCATTTTCGATTTGGACTGTTTTCTGCTATTGAGTTTGGAGAATGCTTTATGTATTCCAGATAGCAGTCCTTCATCAGATATGCTGCTTGTGAATGTTTTCTCCCAGCCTGTAGCTTGTCTTTTCATCCTCCTAACAGAGCCTTTCACAGAGCTAACATGGTCGGGGCTGAGGGGCAGGAGAGGAAGGTCATTACCAGCCAAGGGGGACAAATGCCCCAGCTCCGTCCTCAGGTTTCTCTGTCACCACCGGGTAGGAAGCTGGAACATGCTGGTGTAGTCTGGTGAGGATGGAAGCCCACACTCCTCACTCCCCTTTCCGCCTTTCCTGGTGGTGATGGGGTCACTTGTTCTGTGGCGTCTGGCTGGAGTAGAGTAGTCTTTATCTAAACAGGATCTCCCTTGCTAGGCTGATTCTTTCCCAGTCCTTGGGCTACAGAGTGTAAGCTTTTGTGGCTTTTTGTTGCTTCTGTTGGCATTTCTAGGTTGCCTGCTTCTTTCGAGTCTGAGATACAGAAGGCTGAAAGAAAACCCAGTTAATGTGTCACTGTGTTGTTCCTTGGGTCCCAAGTCCCTGCCTTCTCGCTTACATTTCATCTTGTCTGTTTTATATGTGATGTCCAGGGTTTTAGTTGTACTTAGCAGGAGGTGTGGAGAGTATTATGTCTACTCCACTTTGCAGAAGTGGAAGCCACTGTTCTTATTCTATTATTTTCTTCCTTCTACTAACTTTGAGTTTATTTTTCTCTTCTTCTTCTAGCTTCTTAAGGTGGAGAACTTAGATCACTTACTTTCTACCTTTTTTTCCATCTTAATATAAGCATTCAGCATACACATTTACCATAATCTGGGGAAAATTTTTTCAAAAATATATTTGACAAAGGACTTATATTTGCAATATATTTAAAAATCCATTACAACTCAATAATAAGACAAACAACCCAATTAAGAACAGGCAAAATATTTGAAAAGACATATTCACACACACACAAAAGACATACAAATAGCCAATAAGCACATTAAAAGATATGCAACATTATAAGTAATTAGGGAAATATAAATTGAAAGCTCAGTGCAATATAAACCCATGAGCATACTAAAGTTAAAAAGATGCTAATATTAGGTGCTGACAAGACTCTAGAGCAATCAGGAGTCTCACAGATTGCTGGTGGAAATGGAAAATTATCCAACCACTTTGGAAAACAATACACCAGCATCTTATGAACTTAAACATCCACTTACCATACAGTCCAGTAATGCCACTCACCTTGGTATTTACTCAAGGGAAATGAAAACACATATCCACATTAAAGACAATAAGTGTTCATATCAGCATTATTCACAATAGTTGAAAACTGGAAACAGTACAAATGTTCATTAGCCAGTGAATGGATAAACAAATTCTGATATACCTACACTTTGAAATATTGATACATGCAACAATATAGATAGAATCTCAAAAACACTATGCTATATGAAAGAAGCCAAACACAAAAGACTATTTATAAGAAATGCTAGAAGAGGCAAAACTTAGTAACAGAAAGCAGGTCAGTGATTGCCTGGTAAAGACAAGACCAACTGAAAGGAGCATGAGGAAATGTTAAGGGTGATACAAGAGTTCTATTGATTGTGGCGGTGGCTATACAACTGAATATCGTTATCCAAATTCACCAAACTGAACACTTAAAATGGGTGCATTTATTACATATAATTATACTGCAATAAAAATGGAATAAAAGTATACTGAGTGTATTTAGTGATATAAATATTAATAAGTTGATTGATAGTGTTTTTCAAATCTAGATTGTTAAATCTCGAATTGGACTGTGTATTGTCTATTTCTTGTGTTAGTTCTTTAACTTTTGTTTCATAGATTTTTAAAGTCTGTTATTAAATACATACACCTTTAAAATTATTATGTTGCATTGGTGGATTGATCCTTCTATCATTATGAAATCCCTTTTATCACTAGGGTTACTCTTTGTCTTGAAGTCCACTTTGATACTAATATAGCCACATTAGCTTTCTTATCCTTAGGGTTTGCATAGTGTATCTTTTTCTACTTTTTTACTGTCCATCTGTGTGTATGTCTATATTTGTAGTGTGTTTCTTATAAATAGTATATTGATGGGCTTTTTTATCCAGTTTGACATTCTCTGGTTTTTATTTGGAGGCTTAGTTCATTTATATTTAATGTAATTATTTGATTGGGTTTAAGTGTCTCATTTTGCTATTTGTTTTCCATTTGTCTTATTTGCTCTTTGTTCCTCGGTTCCTCCTCTCTTGCCTTCTTTTGTGTCACCTGAGTATATGTTTTGGCATTCTGTCTTATCTTCTGTATTAACTTTTTAGCTATTCTTCAGTGTTGTTATTTTGGTGGTTGCTCTGGAGATTACAACATACACCTTTAACACAGTTGACCTTCAACTAAGAAGTCACTTACCCAAGACACACAGTTGTTAAGGGGCAATTCAACCCCAATAGTCTAGCTCTGTCCACATAGTAATGATTCACAGCATATATATGTGTGTTTATTAAACATAGGAAATATAACCTTAACATTGAGCATTAAAGAAAAATAGTGGGAAGTCTTATTCTTCATGCATCAGATCTCCTCAATATTACAAGAGTTGGCAACAATTTGAGTGTATTTACTCAGGGGCTGTTTCCCAATGCTCATACCTCAGATAACAAGGGCTACCTGTACCCCTCTAGCCTCCTAACACACTGGGTCTTAACCCTGGCTGCACCTTGAATCACCTGGGGTGCTTTTAAAGTACTGATGCCGAGGCACCACACTCAGAGTATGACTTAATTATCTGGGATGTGGCTTGGGCATGAAGATTTTTGAGAGCTCCCAACAGATTCTCATATGCAGCTGGGGTTGAAAACCACTGCTCAACAATTCTATTGCTGTCCAACTCTCCAGACCCCTTAAATATAACCCATCTTTTGTCACTTCCTGGTGGAATCATTTTCCTGATGCAAAATCTGAACTGGTTCTATCTCATACCATCTAAACAGCCACTCCCAATCTCCCCCTAACCTCCAAAGCCCTAGATAACCACTAATGTACTTTTTGTCTGTATAGAGTTGCCTGTTCTGAACATTTCACATCAATGGAATCATACAATTTGTGGTCCTTTGTGTTTGGCTTCTTTTACTTAGTATGATGTTTTCAAGGTTCACCTATGTTGCACCATGTATCAGTACTGCATTCCTTTTTATGGGCAAATACGTTGTATGAATACAACACATTTTATTTATCTGTTCATCAGTTGGTGGACATTTGAGTTGCTTCAACTCTGGCAATTATGAATAATACTGCTATGAACCTTCATGTACATAGTTTTGTATGGACACGTTTTCAGTTCTCTTGCGTGTATGCCCAAGAAGTAGAATTGCTGGGTCTATGGTATCTCTTTATTTAACCTTTTGAGAGACTGCTGAGCTGTTTTCCAAAGTTTCCATAACATTTTGCAGTCCCACAAGTTCTATTTTCTCTACATTCTCACCAACACTTATTATTAACTGAGCTTTTTGTTATGGCCATTGAAGTGGGCATGCTTATCACTTAAAGGATAGTTGCTTGGACCAGAGCAGTACTAATGGAGGTGGTAAGAAAAGATACCACTCTGGATGTATTTTTGCCAGTAGAGCTGGCAGGTCTTCCTGATTGTCTGGTGAAGATTGGAAGGAAAGAAGCTGCTGTTGGGAGTGAATGATATGGTGGAATATTCCTCACAGTGTGAGGGGCATACCAGTGAGGACACACAGATAATTTTGTGTTGAACTACATGGTATTTAAATAATAACATTTAATCCCCTTGAGTGAAAGTTATTCCCCATGTCAAGTTTTTTTAACTCTTCATTATGCCATGGAGAGAATTTTAATTGGTTGTTAGCATCCCATTAGTCCCTCATTACTTAGTGTCCTTTTGGAAGAGCCAGAGAAGGCTAGAGGGCCAGAGAATTCAGCATCTTGTTGCAATTAGAAAACACTGGTTTATCTTTGTTTTTTTTATTCTTATAACTACTTTTGCCCTAGGGCAAGTGATTTTTGTTAAAGCTTGTGAGTTAGAAAAAAAAATCCTCCTTTTAAGTTAAATCTATTTAAATTTACAATGTGAAGCAACTCAAAGAAAAATACTAAGTAGCTCAATGCAGAGAGTGCATGGTCATGGCAAGATTCCAAAAACTGGATGTAAAGATATGAAATTCGAGAAGGCAAGAGAAGGGCCCAGAGCAGGGTGCGGTGCTCACGTCCTACCTGGGACACGCTGCCACAATGCCCATAAACCTCTACAGCAAATTATTTCCCAATGGATCCTTTTCAGGCTGTGATGAAACTTTCTCCCATGTTCTTTCAAAATGGGGACCTGACTGCAAGCCAGCCCAATAGTCGGCTTCATCAAAGGTTCCAGTCAGATTAGCATCAGCCAGCCTTGGATGGATGGTGAGGCCCTGCAGGGAGCACTTTGGACATTCGAGGCCTGGGTGTAGGAGGGTAGTTTTCCAAACTGGAAAAACTACTCCTGGGGATTTGGATCATCTGACATCATAGAAGTTCTGGTCCATTTCCCCAAAGTCCCAGTGGAGGCACTTGGGACCAGGGTGTGTTGCAACCAGGGCCGCTGGATTAGATCCCATATTCTAGAACCAGCTAAGAGACTAAGTACAATATTTAGTATTAGAGCAGAGGCTTTGATCCAGTGACTCAATGTAATAATAATAATAATAATAATAATAGCAAGCATATAGTGTCCTGCACTTACTATGTGCCAGGCACTGTTTTCAGCACTTTACATCTATTGATTCATTTAGTCCTTATAATAATCCATTTGCCTTTCCTTTCTGAGTCTGTCACCCTACATTAGGCAAAGCTACATTCAAATTCCGGAACCACTTGACTTGTTGTGCAACCCTAGGTCAGAGGTTTAACTCCAGTGGGCCTTAGTTTCCTTATCTGAATGGAAACAAGAACAGTATGTAACTCGTAGGGATGTTGGGAGAATTAATTGGCAAGGGTGTAGCATAGTACTTGCACATAGTAAGTGTTCATCAGTTGATGACAATTATTATCATTCCGCTCATGGCAGATTTTATTTTCCAAAGAGGGCACCCATATGTATCTTCCACTCTACATGGGCACCCCATATGCTCTTCTTAAATGTGATTGCCACTCTTTCCACTGAGAGTTGGGGGTCTATGTTCCCACCTCTTGAAAGTGGGCGGGGGGGCTTGTGATGCACCGACCAATAGAACGTGGCAGTACTGATGCTATGTGACTTCTAAAGCTAAGTTATAAAGAGGCTACAGCTTCTGATTGGTTCCCACATTCCCAGAACTCTCACACTTGAAACCCAGCCACCACATTGGAATTTCAAACCACACAGAGAAACCAAGGCTCCCGCCAAGCAGCCAGCACCAACTAGCTGGCATCTGAGTCAATGAGCCTTCAGATGATTCCAGCCTCTAGCCTCTGAATCTTCCATCTGAGGCCTCAGACGTGGTGGGACAGATACAAGACATCCCAGTGCTGTCCTGCCCAAATTTCTGACCCACATAATCTGCAAGCAAGGGTTGTTCTATGCCATTACGTTTGGAGCAATTTATTACACAGCAGTAGGTAACTATTAGTACCACTATTACTTTTCTTACCTGGGAAAGAGTTTCTTATAGGAATGAGAGGCTGCAAGACATGAGGCCCCTAGGTAGATGACTCGGTCCTTAGCACCCTACAGAAGGAAAAGTGGCTCCAAGGCTGGACTCACTGACTCCCTTTCTTTGTTTCTTCTCCCTTTACATTGAAAAGGAGGTAGAATTATTAGACCATTTCCACAGTCGATGGATGGTTTGACTACCATTTGTTTTCATTCCTTACTAGG